TATCTCTTCTCAGTTATCCTCTCTCCTCCCTTTGTGATTTCTCTTCTTATTGCTTCCTCGGCCTGTTTTCTTTTTCTATCTCCTTCACGAAATTCTTTTTTCCCTCACCCTTTAGAAGGGAGGTCCTATTGTCTTCCCTTCTTCTTTATTCTCTGTCTATTCCTATTTACTCCGTCCAGCGCCCTGCTCGTTTCTTTCTGGGTAATTTCTAGTCTCTCTGTAGTCTTGTTTGTCTCCTCGTCTTGGTCCTTCTCTACTATTTTAGAAACAGTCTGTCATAGAGACATTTCAGTGGCTTGAAAAAGGCATTCGAGGCATCGCAGACAATATAGAAGTGGAGGATAGTTTCATTGCACCATCAGCTTTAAACAAGTTACAAATGAAGACAGTGAAGAACAGCTAATCACAGGAAGTCTGCTGGATAATTTGAGTGCAAATTGATTGTTGAGTGAAGCTGAAGCAGTTTTGTTTTATGGAATTCGCATTGGAGGCCTACGTCACGGAAATAGATGGAATAAGTGTGGTTGTAGTTGCATCAAATTCACTCAGAGAATCTCCAGTCAAGTATGTAATGAAATATCCATCGAAAAACGTATCAACGTCACTCGGCCAGCAATTATTAGCATATACAATAAATATGCGTGTACTCATCTATGGATCAATATATCTGATGAATCAAGATACAAATTAGTGTCGTACATCTACCAGAGATAAGAAATTATACTCTGCAATATTGATGTGTCTCATTGGTAAAACAATAAATAATGATTGGCAAATTTACAAGAAGACAGAAAGGAAAGGAATTTAGAAGGGACCTATCACACACCTCACAAGATAAAGAGCAGCTGTCAAATGTATGAGTCGATGAGGTCAATGCAAGTTTTGGACAAAATTTGCTAAGATTAAGCTGATCTACTTGGGGAAGTGGAACATAAAAAGAGAAGATGGTGTGCAATTGATTGATTGCAAAATTATCATTGGGTCAATCTGCGTGAAATATGACGTTGGTTGCAATGTTACAGAAAAAAGTAATACTAATTTTCTGATGTTTGAAATCATAGAATTTTTTAAAAGGACTGAATAGTGTCTTTGCTACTGATATTGTGGTCATTGTCTAGTCATTGAATCGAATAAAAGCCTTTGTTTTGTAAATAAATACTCCTCCTGTTTAATATTTTCTGTTTCAACCCAGTTCTCACTAGGGAATAGATTTTCATGTAAATATATGTATTTACAGGACATTATGAATGAAATAGAACTCTTTTTATTTTAAATATTTTACGTATTACTACACATTTCATGACATTTTAATAAATTTTTGTACCAAAACTTAACATATCAGATGTGAGTTTGCAATACACCATGTTACTAAAACTTTATTACAAAGCAATTCTATGACCACCGGTCCTTCTTCATGAATTGTCAAATTTATTCCTCCCCTTCTTTAAAATCATGTACTCGTGTTCAAAAATGACCATATGAACACATAAAGCAGAAGTAATATCAATCTCATGCTTGCTCATGTTTCATAGACCCCATGCGTAACACAATAAAAACAGATATTCTTATTTGATTGTCTTGACATGTTGTTGGAGTAGTTGGGGGAGGTGTCTCTTCCCCCACCTCTGTGACCTATGATTGACAGCATGTTACTACACTATTCACTTAAGTACCATCTTCTTGTAAACAGTGTATAAGGGATGAATGTATTTTATATCCCAAAATAAGCTACTATAAAATTACTTCTGTAGAGGATGAACTTTCTTTCATACTGTCTAAATCCATTAGACCGATCAATGACTTTCCGTGCTCATAAAATCAATCCTCTATATAAGCATAAAGAGGAATTTTAAATTCTATAATCATCTAAATTCTAAGACCATATCAAGACTGAGAATGGGAAGCTATGAAGGCTAGAGGTCTGCAGGACAAGGATTGTCAACAAGTTCTGAATGATGGGATGGGAGAGACGTGTCAACCAGAAAAACCACACAGATCGCTTGAACGTGCCATTTTTAGTGTGTTGTTGTTGTTGTTGTTGTTGTTGGTGTGTGTGGGTGTGTGTTTATATATATGCATACCATTTTCCCAACATTTATGATTTGTTGACCCACACATTGTTCTAATCCCTCATTCTTCATGAAAATTCATACTTGAAGGTTTTTCAGGTCTCTGAATACAATCTGATATTGAATTTTTAAAATATATGGCCTACAAAAATTTGAAAATTGCATTATTTTTCATGAAATTTGGTGCATGAGGTTACTTTGGGTCACGGATTTCTAATCTGAAAAGAAATAATCATAATGGAAAATTGAGGACAAAATGTTGAAAAACATAATTTTCATTAAATTCAGTATTTACATTTATTTTTTGATAATTTTAGGATGTCTTTTGAAAAAGTTTGTGGTTTAAAAAAAATGAACAATTTTTGTTTAATTACTTTCAATTAAAAGTGATTTTCAGAACGTAAGGAAAACTGTGCGAGTGTGCGTGCCCCCGTTGGAGATGGGAAAGAGAGAGAGACACGCTACAAAATTATCAATTTATTTTGCTGAGGTTTATGATCCTGCTGATGCTGATATTTGCATAAGTGGACATCATGGAACTATTGATATTGATTTGGAAATTACTCAAATGGATGTTTACAATGCCTTAAAAAAATCTTAAAACAATTTGGGCTATTTGTCCTGTCTTCTTTGTTCAAAAAAACTGTGTTGTAAACTTAACTCCTGTGGTTCATTTTTTGTTCACAAAATAAATGCAAAATGGAAGCCTTCCTAAAATCTAGAAAAATTGTTTCATAACTCCTATTTTTAAAATGGAAAATCGACAACTGCAGACCCATATCTAAATTATGTATTATAGCTAAAAGGATGTAATCTGTAATTACATCTAAATTAATCTCTGTATTAACTCATTGATGCCTGTTATTATTTTTTCTGGATTGCGTGAAAATTTTAATATATTTGTATTACGGAAAACGTTTACTGTAAAACGAAAAACAAAAATCTCCATGCACAGGTTCGACGTTTGTCATGGTACTCGAGTGCTCATTACACACAGCCCTGATAAGGTCTTTTTGCGAGTACAATTGTTGTTAATTCTTATTTTTCAAGCAGTGAGCAGTTATTTTATTTTTTAGCAGATTTGAATCAGTAATACGTTATTGTCAAAATACAGGCTTCAAAGCTACAATGGTACAGTAGCAATCATTGCCTTTCTGTTGTTTTTATAAATAAAACATTCTTTGATTCTTATGTACTCATCAATTTCATAGTTCCATTGGAGAATAATTTTGAAATTGGGGGTGTATTTACATTAGACTTTCCCTCCAATTAAACCGGTTCACTGGCATAAAACAGCAAATCATGATCATTTTAGATGATCCAAAGGGACGCAAGTCATGAATACACCCTCGCCAAGAGTGTACCATGTTTTAGCAGTCATGGCTAAATCTACATCTTGGAATCAGAAATGAAAAAAATTGCTTATGTGTTTTATGTAGGGTGTATACATCTATTGAAGACATAAAATTCACAAAGTATTGCAAAAGAAGCAAATTTAAGTTGATGAGAGAGGTTTTTTTTCAAATGGGGATACTGACTGTTAATTATATTAAAGAAAATAATTATAGATATTTGTCTTGAAACCTATTGAGACCTCAACTATATATCAAGGATTTTGAAAGTGAAACAAAACTGTACGTTGGCATTTATTTAATCCCTGGGGATGACAAGAATGTCAACAAAAAAAGTGAATTTATGTCATTTGGCATGAAGTTATTGTTCATTGTGGTAATTACTTGAACTGTTGAATATAAATTCTAACTTGGTGCTACAGCATCATGTACTTTCTCACATTATTTGAAATGGTTACATAATATTATCACACTACTTGGGCATACATTTGTGAAATTTTCGATAAATTAAAAGGTTATGTACATCAAAATGTTGATGTCATGTTATTAAGTGCATATAGCTCTATCCATTTAAAAAGGTAAAAGAAAAATTTTGGAACTGTCTGAGAAAATCATGTTTACAAAATTGCTTTTATTTTATGCAAAAACATGAGAAAACTCTTTATATAAAAATTGCATGTGACAATATTTAAAGATCTAATTTGCAAAAATGCAGTTCATTAAGAAAACATTTCTACAAACAATATTGTATTTATGGGAAGACTTGAAAAAAATGTAAACTTGTAATTATAAAAAATTTAGAGAATTCAACAATTTTAACTGCACAATTTTTATAGGTGCACTTTCCTTACTCACTGAGATGAAGAAGAAGAAAAGTACAAAATTAATTGGGCATTAATGGGTTAACTCTTTCCATTAAATAATAGATGCTATCTTTTGTATTTTTGCAGCCTTCCTCTGACTAGTCCAGAACATCATTGATTTTGTTCAACTCAATTATCAGTATTGAGACATAATTCATATTTGTTTTGTTCTCTGTCGTATTTTTATATAAATTTGGGAAATGTAGATTACAGGATTTGGACAGAGACATTAAAACATTTGTTTGCCCATGTTTTGGAATATTTTTATTCCATCCTCAGGGCTGACGGCAAAACATACACATAAAAAAGCTCTAAGAATGGAACAAAAATATCCTGAAATGTCGGCAAACTAATGTTTCAATATCTTCATTCACTCCAACCAAATTCCGTGATCTACATTTCCCATTTCTACTTCATGGTCATGAATCTACAATGGTTTGACTGTCTTGTTTATTCTGCCTCTGAACCAGTTCTAATATTATTTTGGATATATTATTATAAATAGCTGTTTTTACGTCAAGTACCTACATTAAAATGATTGATTTTTTTGCACATTCAAGACAAGATCGAGGGTTTATTTCCAATCTGTTGAGTCCAGAGATTGAGCAATAGGGGAGACAATAATAGTTTTGTATGATCGTAGAACAAATAATTTTTAATTGTGCTTCTTTATTATTTTTTTGAACTTAGAGATCATAATTATGTTTTCTACACAGCTGTTTCTCACGAGAAGGGCAAAATCACTGTACTTCAGCTGAGTGCATTGCTGAAGCAAGCTGATTCTTCTAAGCGAAAGTTGACATTAACAAGACTTGCTTCTGCACCTATCCCTTTTACTGTGCTGTCCATCACTGGTAACCAGTGGAATGAAGATTTTTTGGCTGTGTGTGGACTCAAGGTAAATGTTTTGGGGTATACAGAAGTTTTAAAGATTTTCTTTAATTTCAAATCCTTTGCTTTCAATTGGTTTTTGGAAATTTATTTTCAGATTAATTGATTTTGCCTATGTTGCTAATGATACTGTATAATTCTGTATGAACTTGATAAATTCATTATTGTGATTCTTGCAGGATTGTCATGTGCTAACATTCAGCAGCAGTGGTTCAGTAGCAGATCACTTGGTGCTTCATCCACAACTTGAGACAGGGAATTTCATAATTCGTGCTATCTGGCTGCCAGGCTCCCAGACATCACTAGCTCTAGTAACTGCTGACTTCGTGAAGATATACGATTTAAATAAAGATGCATTGAGTCCCTTGTACTTCTTTTTGGTACCCAGTGGAAAAATACGTGATTGCACTTTCATTTCGACAGAGGTAAGTAATATGTAGGCTTGCTTGACAAATCTCTTTTCAGGTTATACGAATTAATGCATTTATCAACTGGTAAATACATATTGTTTGAGAAAGAATAAATATTGGTATAGTCTTTTGAAACCTATCAATTAGTCTTTCAATCAATGGTGTTGGCATTTTTAAAAAAAGTTATACTTAGTGGAATCTTGATAGCACAATTCTCGTTATCATGTTTTTCCACATAGTACATTTATATTTTCAAGTCCCAGTCCCAGTTCCATCAAATTATTAGTTTACATGTTTAAAAATCTTGCTTACCATCCTCAAAGTTTGAATAGGAAACTTGCTTTGCGAAAGACACGTTTTCCTACGCACCATCACCGTCGTTATTTTCATGGTACTTTTGGGTACTCGTTCCACTTTGATTCCAGATCCAGAGAAATGTGTTTCGCTGTACCCTCCATGCCAACTTTCTCCCCCCCCCAGGCCTGTGTCACACGAGAGTCGCGCATCACCTAATGCTGGTGACATTGGCTGCATCCCTGCCTGTGTATACGATTTGCTTAACGTGCATCGTTGATTAACACTAATGTGAATTGACACATGAGCGCAAGCTGCAACGTAATGAGTAGAGCCCGGAAGTTTGACAAAATGCCTTTTTATTATTGTTAAGGTTTTGTGGCTTTTAATATTAGGAATCACTTAATTGTACTCCTGAAGTTGTTTTAATTGATTTTTCATTTGCTGCATTTTTTGGGTCTTTCTCGTCTCGACAAGCTGGAAACATACCTGCAAGCCTGGACAAATGAAGGCATGGTCAGGAGTCGTCTTTTTGAGAGCGCGGGGTCTAATATCAGTTTGTGTTAAAAACCTAAAGGGAAGAAGATTCCAAAGATGATTTTGATATTTTTCATTGACACTTAGACTTGTTTGCTCACAAAAAATCTCATCCTATGTTTCAGTATAGCTTCTGATCCCTTTTGAAGACTTATATGTCTGTACATGATATACCCTTCTCAGTTGTTTCTTGTTCTCTTCCCTTTTGGCAATTGCACAAGTGTGAAGAACAAAATCTACAATTCCAGTTTCATTAATAATATTTCAGCATTATAGAAGGAGTCATAATAAAATTAAAATAAATTTGTAGCAGTCATACCAGATGGTCATGTGTAATCAAGATTACAAAGAAAAGTTAGTTTCCCTCCATGTGAGTGCTAATGTAAATTTTAGATTGCGTAAGAAAGTGAGTCATTTCATTTATTAATTTTTTACATTAATTACTTTTAAAAGGTAATTTTTTAATGTTACCTGTGTTTTTACCGCTACTTTAGCCAGAGTAAATGCCTTTTTGCCTGCCTATGTGAGGTAAAATAAATGCCTGAACTTCCAGGCTCTAGTAATGAGTCAAGATGACTTACATTTTCTAGCTTTTAACGTGCAAGTCATTCTAGGTGATATACTTCAATGTGCATTACTTTTAATACTTTTTTATGTAATTTTTATTCAATGTCATTTATGAATAAATTAGGAGTCTCAATATTCTATGGGTATTTGCATGATATTTAAGTAATTGTGTTTTCTCTATTGCAATGATTTGCAGACAGAAATGTGAAAAATAGGTATAAATTGAGCATTTTTTGTTAGCACGTTTTCCCACACACCAGATATTAACAATTTTTGTATCCTTGGAAAACATACTAACAAGATTCCACTGTATATCCATTACACTGTTAAACCTTCCTCTCATTCTCTGACTGTATGGAAATTAATGTTGTACATTTTTTTTATGTTGTCACTAAATTGTTCTTTTTAACTTGGAAGATTTTGTAAAGAATTGGAATGAGAACTCTGGTGTATTCCTTGAGAACAAATGGTGCCATACCAGCGTGTCTAGCAGAGGAGTTTGGGTTTAATGACAGAACATTATAGATGATTGCAACTTCGAAGTCAATTACTTCTGGTGTTTCTTCAGCAGGGGGTGTAGGTAGAAGTGGGATAGGATAATTTGGTTAGTCATAAAAGGTTGCAAATTTTTGCACAGGTGGTGAAGATTTTGGCAACCTCTCTAGTTTAAAACTATTTCCCAAGCTTCTTTCCAGAAGATATGAGAAATAGAAACTTTTGTGGATGTCTGGTTGAAAATGTATGAGTGTGTATAGTTGTTTACCTTTGGTTTTGGCTATGCTTTGCTCATAATTCCTGCTGTGTGTTAGTCTCATTTGTTAGTTACATAATTCGGTAAATTTTCTATGTATCAATTGTCTATGCTGGATTTGCATTTATTCCAAAGCCATTTCATTTTACACAATAGTCTTGTGATCCTTTGGTGATCAATGATTTATGTATGTTAGAGAATTTTTTGGAATGGGTAAATTATTATCTAGAATTTTGATTAATTTTGATTTGAATGTCAACCATTTGCTTTCTAGATCCTCTTTATTTGTGTGCTCAAAAGTTGCATAGGACTACACAAGGTCTCTTTTCACTTTCTCTAAGTTTGCCCACCTCTTACATTTCTTTTTGAGGAGTCTTTTTCACTTCATGAATTTTGGTTTGTATGCCAGAGGATAGAACAACATAGTTGCTTATGCTAATAGGACTGCCTACGACTGGGATTGACTGAGCAGATACATCACTTGTCATAATTAGGTTGTGTGATGAAGATCTTTGTCTGCTACGAAATCTGGTTTTGAATGTTATCAACTGAGGGGAAACAAGTCTTCTTACAATTCAAGGAACTCCCTTGCTGTAAATGGGACATAGTCTGAAGTTGGTTTAGGCCAGTGTAATGATTGGAAATTAAAATCCCCTAGGATGATTGTAAGGCCATTCCACATCGTTCACCTCACAAAGCATATTAAAGAGAGATGTGTCAACATCTCTATTAACCCAAAACAATCGAAACAAAGAAAACCATACAAAACAATAAAAACAACTACAATGAATTGTATTACACCATGAGCTTAATTATTACATATTTAACAATTTAAAAGAACACTGGATAAGCTCACCAAAAATATTAAATTACCAGAAGAATTGCCAAAAATAAACACATAATGTAAAGATGGAGGTTGAGTTGTCAAAAAGTTGACAGAATAATTTATTCAAAGAAATACAAGTACAAAATTTGGGGCTTCAAGAAATTGAGAATATGAACATATAACCATATAATATAAATGTTTAACTAATATTCTAAGTTATAAATGAGAGGAGAAAGTTTCTAAACATCTTGATCAATCGTTTCAAACTCCATAATTGGAATTGCAACCATTCAAAGAGTGACAAAAGCCAGTGAGTTTACAAATTGTCATCTAAGCAAAAAACATAATATATTATTTATTGATAATGTTAACATAGAGCCTACTGAGATTTTTGCCAGTGAAACCTAGAAATGTAACCAGTGACAAAAAACAGATGGCAAACTTTCCTAAAGACATTAAAATATGTAATAATTACACATTAATCTATAAAATCACACAATATTATGAATACTACAGAACATGAAATACTGCATCTCGCATGCCTGTACCATCCTTGCATAAGACAAAATAACCAGTCAAAGAGACCTGCATATTTTCAGAAAAGTGGTCCCCCGAGGCAACAAAGAGCAATTAACTCTGTGGGAATGATTGGTTATTAAAAAGGTCCTAGGATTGGGGTAGCTGCATACCAAAGTGTGTTGCTACTACAACTTGAAATAACGAGTCTAGCAGGTGCATGTTGCTCCTGAAGGGTTTTAAAAATAAAAATATTTTTTGCTTTTTGAAAATGAGGTCATCAAATATTTGGTAAAGATGGTAAATCATTCAACAATAATATTTTATAATTTTTGATTCTACATTTTCAGTGTACAATGTGAATTCAGTAAACGATGTATCAATGATTCTAACTAAACTGTGCTTGCAGAGATCTAATAATTGTTACTCATTTGCTACAGGATGGAAATTCTTACATGTTGCTTATGTCATCTGCTGGTCACATCTACAGTCAAGCAATGGATGAAGAGAGCTCAGCAAAACATGGGCCTTTCTATGTCACCAACACTTTGGAAGTATATCATCAAGATATCAAGGTACTTCAGTATTTCACCTATTTTTCATTTTTAATTTTCATCAACCACTGAATGTCATGAAGTGTGTTCTATCATGTTGCTTTGTGATAATAATTGTCATAGAATGGATTTCTATGAAAATACATATTTTCTATATAAGCTAATATTGTTACTAATTTCCATTATCTTTGTTTCACAATGTGTAGAGTTGAAAAATGCTACTTTTGTTTTCCATATTTTGGGTTATGGTTCGTATTTCAATAAAAGCCCATATAGCATATGATTAGGAGGTGATAGGATATTGGTGAAAGGTGATCATGGACTTTTTGAACCATCCCAACATTCGCCTTATGACCGAGGGATACTATGAAAACCCCGGTGTGAATGGCCGGCCCAGGAATCTAAACCGGACCTCCCGATTGCGAAGTCAGCGCGCTACGCACTGAGCCACTTCGTTCGGTATATAGAGATAAAAATTTTTTTTCTACATTTTACAAACTTTGCCCATTTAGACATCAAGATAGTTCACCTTGGGGCCGTTCAATATTCTTGTTCATACTGGTAACTGCTTTCTCTATTATTATGAGATTCTTCAGCTCATATCTTCAGTTATCACCGACTTTATCTGATGTGAAGAAAAATGCAATACACATTTATTGATGCAAATTTCTAAGTTTGTTCAGTTGTAACTCTTTACAAAGGAAGTATTAGTTCATCCAAGCTGTGATAAATAGTATTTATTATGTAGATGAGTTTTTAAAATATGTATTGCAGAGATTCTTGCTAGATATTTTAGGGAGACTCAAATAGCCTCAGTCACTATATGGGCAAACACAATGACATTCTTTTTTACCACAGACAGGCAGTTACCTGATAATGTCTGCACTCAATTGTAGTACATTTTGTGTTGTAAAAAAATTATCGTAGTACAATGAATAAATAAATATATGTACAATTATGATACAATGAAATGAAATTGTAGTTTTGAATTTTATAATAAAGTGTTATCAGTAAACTGGAATATGAAAGTTGCACCGTCTACAGAATAATGTCAAATAATCTCAACTCTAATGAGAGACAGCATAAACAAAACATGAACATCAAATTGTTTAGGATGGTAGTAAATGCTTTTTCTCGTATGTACTTGGACAAACTAAAATTGGTCCCACTATGATCGTTCTGGCTGGAGATTCTATACTAACTGACCCAAATGATATTACAGAATGCTTTACAAACAATTTTGAAGAAGTATAAACTGGTGAACCTGAAGGTCCATTGCCACTATTGAAGAGACATGCATGGAATCATTGAAGATTAAAATTTTCAGAAATTGAATCTGCCCAGATAATATGTGGATTAAAGCAAGCTCGACCACTCAGCCTGATTGTATCCCAACCATGTACCTGAAAATGTGCATATTACAGTTAGCCCCTTTTCTGAACAGAAAAATCAGATAATCATTAGAATCAAACATTGCCTTCTGAGATGTGGGGGGGGAGAAAGAAAAGAAAAAAGGTGACATTACACCCTGTTTTCAAGAATGTTAAAAAGATACCAAGAAACTACAGACCAATGAGTCTGACAAGCACAATGGGAGTTATGGAAAGGGTAATTGTGCAATGTCTTTTAGAACATTAACTTGGAAATATTTTCCCTGAAAAACATGTTTTCGCTAAAACATGAGTAATATTTGTAATAAATGAAATATCTTTGTTCAATTTATTTGCAACTAAATGATTTATAGTACAATAAGTTTAATTAGAGCAATGGAACCAATTTTTGGAAAATAAGAGAATTACAAGGAATTTGTTGAAGAATCAGATATTAGGATAATATTTGAAGTTATTTGTTCAATAAAATTATACAACTAAATATTATTTCCTAAAAAGGCATTACTGCATTGATATAATTTTTTATTTGTGAATTAAATGGTGTTAATTTTGCCTTTTCCATAGCAATATGAGAGAGCTGACAAATTTGCAATAAATATCCAACTCTTGTTTGTATTTAAAATTTTCTTGAAATAACATGAAATATTCTACAAATCTCTTAGTGGTGAAAAAATTACCAGGAATACTGTAAAAGGGGAAAAAGTTCTGTGCAAAAAGCATCTTTAATGTTCCAACTAGTGATGCGATATTGGCAATAAAACATTGATGTTCAAAATACATCAAAACTTCTATATATTCAATATATTTAGGTTTAAAACACCAATATTTTTATAGACACATCAATGTTTTGAAAACATCAACATCAGTGTCTCATCCCTAGTTCCAAACACGCTGTGCCCACTCACCACCATGTACTTGATGCACTGAAGTACATGAATGATGAGTTCAAAACATTAACACTTCCCCACAGTGAGGATGTCGTGTTTTGAGTTCAGGATCAGCCCTGCCTTAGCTGAAACTTCAAATTGAAACTCGCCCATAGAAAATTTAATGTCAAATTGGAAGCCCTGACTGGCAGCAGACAAATGATGCACATGCAGGTCTACAGTGTTTGATGTCAAAATAATTTGCATTCCTGTGCTTTTCCCATGATACTATCAATTGTTCCATATTTATTTCTTGCAGACCTTTTTGTGACCATGACTTACTATTTATTTCTTCTCCGTTCTTTTTACCACCTCGTTCTACATGTTTCCCGAGTGTTAAGTAATGCCACGTGCATGTTTTTCAACATGACTTAAAAATCCTTATCCTCCTCTATGCATTACAGTGTTAAAAGTCATTAAGTGTCCTGCTTAGTGCCTTTTCTGCCTTAAATGTTCACATATACTAAACACATATTCGCAAGCCTGACTTAACACTACTTCTCTTTTCTACAATGTGTGAGGGCATAGACATCGCACAACTCCATGGACAAATGCATTGAAGTATATGAAAGTTTCACAAACTCTTGCCTTGCACGAGTAGGCAAAGGTAAATTTCATTCAAACTTTATCTGGTGATGTCTTCGCATTTTCTCACAACTTTGTTTGTCAGATGAGTGGCAACAGTGATCTTAGACTTTATCATCATGAGCAAATCTTTCTACCTGATTGGTAGAGCTGGTTTCAAGTGGCGGAGTTGATTGCTTCAGATAGGGGTGTGTTTTAATTTTTTCAAATGGTCTATAAAAAATGTCTTTAATTTTTAAAATTTATTATTGTTGTCATATTCATGTCTTTTTCTTCACAGGATGTAAATGGTCAGATGGGTGGTGGTGGTGTCAGCATTTACTATTCACATGCACTACAGCTCCTTTTCTTCAGTTATGCTGCGGGCAAAAGTTTTGTAGCGCCACTTACTTACATGGATGGCAGCCTACCAACTGTATTTCAAATAAATGTAGGGAAGACATCTGTTGGTGGAAATGGAAATAAAGCCAATAATGCTCAGCCGCAACCTCTTTGCCAATGGAGTGAAGTACCAAATCATCCTGGACTAATATGCAGTGTCATGCAAAGCAGTGAGTTGAAATATGTTAAATACATTATTTTCTGTATATATTATTCTCAGAAGCACTGATGCCATAGCCAACGGTTTTTATGACCTTTGAATAAATTGTAATATCACTTGCAAAAAGAAAATGGATATAATTACATTTCACCAAGTGAGAGGTCACAGAATGGCAGCCTAAACATTGGCAATTGTGCCTACGATGCGGCATCTCCTGGACAGCCTTGTAGTTAATGACATCATAGTTCCTTCCTTACTATGTGGTTGAAATAGGTTTTAAACAGTGCAGTCAGATGATGCTCAAATGATGAATTTGTGATGATGTATTTGTTTTAAATGAATTAATTTCCTACAAACATTTCTGTTGTTTTCTATTTATAATTCTTAAATGATAATAAGCTAGAGATTTTTAACTTTATTTTTATGCATTCATATATATATTGGATGGTCTTCAGTTCTGAATGTTTATTTTAGATGTGATATTGTCCTTGTGTAATGTAATGGTTGAGATTTATTCATGTTGTATTGTAGAAGAAAGAAATGGCTACTGTTTCTGACTATCAAAATAATGCAATTATGCATTGCATGCACTTAATTTGAATTTTTTTGGACTTTTTAGTGATATATAAAGTGTTATTAGATGCAATATTTATAATTCATATTGCAAATTCAAAGTGCAAATTCATAGTACAGTATTACGTAACCATTCCCAGTAATGCAAGAAAGTGCCCCTCTAGTTTTGGTGTGCATGTAAGTCTTATTGCTACTGTCCAAAATGCCATTTTTCTGGATGGGTTCTGCACAATTATAACTCGCAGATCCATTTGTTGAACAAAATTATGAAAGTCACATCTTTGAAATGCCAATATTAAAATAACTATGAGGATATAATAATGGGATACTAAATTTTTATTCAAAATACTTAGTGGTCTGTAGACTCTCTTTATCAGTCCTATTGAAAGTTAAGATTCCAAACAACAAGATGATGGATATATTTTAATTTAAAAACCAGAAATCAATGAATACCATGAATAATGCAATTAAATAAATGCAAATTTAATATTGGTTTAAATATATTGGGTTTGTCTCAACCAGTGTTTTATAATGAACTGAAAAGTTATGAATCAAATTTATCAACGTTGATCTTATAATTTGTGTGTTTTATATTGATATTTTTCACTGATTTTTGCAGTAATCTAAACATAATGCCTATTTGTATTTCTGTTTGTAAATTGATTAGTTAAGTCTGTAAAATAAATAAGTAAAAAAGAAGGTCTCCACAGCCAATGGTATAGGGGTAAAAGGCTTAAAATCTTGGTTCGAATCCCAGTGTGAAAAAGTATGTTTGCTTATTTACAAATTGTATTGTTAACAGCTGGTAACAGATATTTGTATTTATCTGTACAGGTAACAATCCTGTTATACTAATGTTGAAACCAGATACATTCCTCGTACAAGAAATCAAAGTAGTTCCAGCTAAAGCAAAAATAATGGATATGGTGGCTATTAGGCATCCATCTTCTAACGCAGATCATCGAACCACTCTTATCTTACTATGTGAAGATGGTAGTTTGCGCATTTACATGGCTTCAATGGACCAGACAGGATTCTGGCTTTCTCCCAGTGTACAGCCTATTAGCACCATGACTACATTAAAACCTTCCCGGAAAAAAAAAATTACTAAAATTGGAAAACCATCAGGTATGCCACTTTTCCATTTTTAATTTTTGGAAAGGAAAAAGAGTAATTCAACTACTTTTATATTTGAAACTGGAATTTGATGCAACCTAATTTAAATTTTTATTATTTGACTTGTCAATATGTCTCAAAACAAATTTATGGTTTTATCATTTAAAAGTTCAATTGCTCACTCTAATGTCCTTTTCAATACTATTAATGTATTGCACAATTCTTTATTACTTATATGATTATTGGTACATGATGTTGTACAGGTGTTGTTTCATTCCCAATTGATTTCTTTGAGCACTGCCAAATCATGAATGACGTGGAATTTGGTGGAAATGACCTTCTGCAGTTGTACAACATGCAACAGATTAAACACAGACTTAACACAACAGGCATGTATGTGGTATCCACAAAAACAGCTGGATTTAATGTGGAGATAATAAATCAAGATAGTGCATATGTAATGACAGGCTTGAGAGTTTTGCTTGGAACACAAGATTCTCAGCGTGCTCCAACATTTATTGAAGTAAGTAATCTTAGTTCTTAGTATACTTGTAATATCTTGACACTTTCAGCCAATATCTTTTGGTTTGTATTCATTTTAAGGTGAAGGAGAAGATATTGAACCACAAATATTTTTACAAAGTCACAATTTTTTTTATAAAGTCATCTTTATTTTCTTCTTCTTCTTCTTCTTCTTCTTCTTCTTCTTATTATTATTATTATTATTATTATTATTATTATTATTATTATTATTATTATTATAAGGTCATGCAGTGCCCCCCTGCTAGCATGTGCCAGAGAAGGAAAGGGATGTTAGTATTTGAAGATACGAAACATATTCCAAATATTCACAAAACTGTTTCAGTGTGTTAGGTTCAAGACACCATTATATCCAGTGAAATGACACCTATTTACATGAAATTAAAATAACAAACAATCTTATTTCAGTACATACTACTTATGACAGAATTGTCTTTTCAATCCTTAAGTAATACCAAAAACCTGAAAATGCAGGATGGGAAGCAGAGTTCTGAGAAAAAACTGCAACAGTTTTGTGAATATTTATGTTTTGTGTCTTCAAATACTAAAATTCCTTTCCCTTTTCCAAGCATGTGCTAGCAGGGGAAGGGCAGTGTGACCTTGTGTGGCGACTGTTACATTCAAAATATCCATTAAACACTTGTCACAAAAAAATCAAAATTACTCAAAACAATGCTGATCTAACATAGGACACTATGTATATCACTGGATTCATCTTTTTACACTCGTCGTGATAGACTGAAAAAATATACATAATTCCATGTGAAAAAACAAAGTTGCCCTGAATTTCTTGTTAAAAAAAGTTATAAAATAGATATGAATACACGTATCAATTACACCATTTCCTCATGTACGTCTGTGAAATCTACATTGCAATATCTTCAACTATTCAAAAGTTACAGGAGGTGCTATAGTTACATGACTCGCCCTGTATACTAATTTTTTGAAAACATTGTAGAGGCAATTTATATTCTGTTAATCTCTTCTTGATGGTTGCTTTAGATTTTTGGGCGGAGCATCCAGACAAATGTTGCTCGGAATCGTTGGTTTGATTTGCCTTTTACGAGAGAAGAGAGTTTACAGGCAGATAAAAAGGTCGTAGTTACATTTGGCCCTTCTCAGGATCCAGAAGGAGTGACCATGATAGATTCTATAAAAGTGTAAGTGCTGTTGTATGATTATTATTATTATTATTATTATTATTATTATTATTATTATTATTATTATTATTATTATTACTATTACATAACTGTACAAAAAAAATTGATTTTGTTACTTGTTACAACCTTGTTTGTATGGTTGTGATGACTGTTAGTGTATTTAATAAATTATATGTAATTTATAGAATTTGTATACAGTCTTGCCTTACAAATACAATGCATAAATAAGTGTGTAGGCTTCCAAGCCCAGAGTCAGTAGCTGCTTGGCTGTCCAGGAGATGCCATGTCCTGGGAACAAGTACCAACATTTTAGCTGCCATTCTGTGACCTTCCTCTAAGCATTTTACCCTGAAGAAGGTCGCAGAATGGTGGCGGAACAAAAAAGTTGGATATAGCATCTACTAGACAGCCAAGCAGCTTCTAATACATGAATAGTAGGTAAAAGAAATCTGGTGTTGCAGGCAAAGAATATCTTAATTGAACTACAACCCTTGAACTTTTCTCTAGAATTCAGTGCCATCCTGAATGAACTAATCAAAAAACATAGTTCATAAACATATTGTTGCACACAAGTCAATAATTCTAAACCAAACTTAATGTTACCAAAACAAAATGATAAATCCTTTCCTACCATCATTTAGTACAAGAACAAGAATCAAAAATGTCTTTCTAGTAATTTGTTAATTACAGATAATGTGGACAATTTAAATTCTGTGATATTCAGCTATATACCTTGAAATTTGTTCTGAAAACTTGATATTTTAACTTTCTGCGGGATATGTTGGGTTCTTAAATGAAGAAAGCCGCAGATACAGTTTTTGGCTTGATGTTCTAACCTTATACTGACTAATCAATATGTTTGAGAATTGAGAATGAACAACTGATCATTCTTAGGAAGATACAAATTTGATTCAAAGGACACATACTACTATATATTGGTTCATCCATATCTTGGTCGCTCTGTTTTCACAATCAAAATTCCAAGCCTTAAAATTCTACATCGTAAGTTCTATTGAAATATTTCTTCTCAATTTCAATTTCCAGATCTGTTAATAGTCCATGACTCTTACCATCAGGGTGTCAGCTTTAAAGATACCATGATTTACATAATTGTGTACGTTCAAGGGTATAAAGTTCTTGCTCAGTCTGAAGAATGGCATTGCCAATAATTTTTATTTATAAAAGAAAGTAAGATAAATGATTCCCCTAGTGTTAACTAGGCAAAAATGTTTCTTATAGAACAATACATAAATTTGACTTTAATTTTTTTTATTTTATTGAACAGGCAACTCAACTTTTTCATATATGTGATAAGTAATTCTGAATAATCAAAGTCAATGTCTACATAATAATTTAATACTACAATACAATAAAATGTATAAGGGGAAAAAAAGTTCAATAGACTATGTCTACAGACTACATTTCCCTTTATTTGCAAATTAAATAATTTTAATTAGATCTTTCTTTGGTACTGATAGCTAGTGTGTATTTGGCGCGGAGTTCCCTAATGCTCCAAATTTCACAAAGATGGATGAGTTCTGTAAGTTGTTCAAGAAATGATTTGATGAGATTTAGATTGGATTTATTTAGTAAAAAAAACAACAAAAAACAAAAACAAAAAAAACAAAAACAAAAAAGGTAAAAACTGTATGTGATGTATGGAGGAGAAGATCATTGCGCACGTTTTCTTGAGTTCCAGAATCCCTTCTCATCATTTTTACTAGAAATAGTTGAAAGATGAGTAAAAGTTTAAAATAAATAATAAAGAAATTTTTTTAAAATTGCGAGATTAGCAATATTTGAAAAAATAGACATTTTTGTTCCCGAGTTATAGAAAACTTATTTGCATCGGTAAATGAATTGCAACTATGATTTTTCTGCATTGCTAACAAAATTGTAACCCGCTCCTACCATTACATGCAAAAGAAGAGTTCAACAAAATGTGCACAGAGTGAAGCTATATTTGCGTCCAGAAGCAAAACAAGGGGCCATCTCAGAATTTGCTCAATGGGTCAGGAAAACTGAACAAAAATTTGATCGAGATGGGGGTCATTGACCCGGAGCTCAAGTACATTATTTGTCACAAACATACCAAGTATTTTTTTTTAATGTATACAATAAAATTTAAACTAATTTTATATATATCACTGTCTTGTTAAAATAAACATTATTTTTCTCTCTGACTAAGATTTTACTTTTAACTTAAATTTGTGAACCAACTTCAGTTGTTTAATGTCATCTGGCAATGCATTGTAAAGTAACCTACATGTATTGTATGTGGATTTCTGATAGTGAGCGGTTGATACTGACACTTGATAAGCATGATTTTTTACGACGTGTATTGTAATTATAAATATCAGTATTGCATGAAAATATGTTCCCACTGTATAGTAAGTCACTTTTGACAAATATTACAGATTCGTAAATATATAGGCAAGACAGTGGAAAGATTCCGAGCTCAATGAAGAGAGGCTTGCAGGGATCACGCATTTGTTCATTATTCAAATAATTTTCCTTTGCAATCTAAAGGTCTGAGTACTACAAGATGAGTTTCCCCAGAATATTATGCCATATCTCAGGCAGGAATGTGCATTTGCAAAATATACACAAGCTGCATGAAGGCTGACAGAATTTGAAAGAATTCTGAATGCATAACATAATGAACTTAATTAAGTGTTTAAATAAGTGTTAATTTTGTTTAAAAACTTGTTCTTTCAAACATTGTGAACTCTTTTTCATGTTAGGTATGGGAAAACAAAGGATGCATTTGGTTGGCCAGAAGAAACTGAAGACATGACAACTGGAAGTTCTGTGCCAGCAACTACTACTACTGGAACTGGGACAGACACTGATGTAGCAGTGCAGCCTGTGCAGCTAACATCCCTTGAAAAGTAGGTAGAAGTACTGTTACATAAACTGCAGAAATGAAAATGATGTAATTTGCAGGGACAAGCAACATTTGAATGAAGTGATCATTGCAGTTGCCCTGGTAGCAAACAGACTGGTGTGCCAAATTTCTTATTTTTAAACATAATAAGTTTTCAAAGCATGTGTAGATAAGTATTCAAATAAATATTATGCATTTTTATATTTCAAATGATTAAGAATTGCATTAGCACAAAGCAAATGAGTTCTTGCCCAACAAGCACAACAAATTAGAGAATGTGCCAATAGAAGATGCTGTGTGTTATGCACATTTGGTCCATCCCAACGAAGAGAAGAAAAAAAGAGAGGTAGTTGTTGTGGGTTCAGCCATCAATTTAATTTTAATGCCTAATATGACCCTAATATAACTGTCGAATTGTAGGGCATATCTATCATTTTTAATCTCAGTGGATGAACAGTTGGGGGAATTGTGCAAAATTTTCTGTATTAAGTTAGTAGGATTTCAAAGTATGATCAGGATCAGGAAAGTAGGATCAGCTCTGAGAATTATTTTAACCTTATACAGATTTCTTTTGTGAAAACACTGGTCACTCAAGCTAAGGGTTTAATGTTTGAGTGACATAACAATGTTAATTTTGGATGAGAATTTATGATTAATCCTTTTTGGTCCTTTGTCCCGCATGGTTGAACACAGATTTTCCTCATGGGAAGTCCTTCCCCAGGTACCTGTTTGCACCACTGCACCAGCTGTCAGCTGTGTCATGGCTTGAGAAACTGTATTCAGGTTCCAAACAAAATATTTTTATTGTTACAAAAATATATTTTAATTTATTTACCTAATTCACAATACATAATTATGTAAATCAATGTTTGGTACAGAGAGCTTCACCCAATCAGTAATAATGCCTGTTGATTGCATTGTATCAGCAGAGTCTGACTTTCACTAGTCATTTCCTTCATATTCTTCACTCAAGAAATGTTTTCAAATTCTTACTTTTCTGAAGATCATGCACACTTATGGTTGGTTTACTGATTCACTCGGTTCACACTCAGTCACTCTCAAACGCTTACTTCTTGACTACATCTTCAGAACAATTGACCCTTGAATACAAACTTATTTCAAACAATAATTTCATGTAATTGGTAAACTCTGGCAACAATGAAGGTAATGACTGCCTCATCTCTCCTGAAGGGAATTAGTTATACTGGTAACTGATGTCATTCATGTGAGTGAAATAAGTCCTGCTACACAGAACAACAGTCCTGAGCCAGGAAAAGATTGCCATTGTGTGAGACATAGGACCTACATGACACCGAAAACAGATAAGTGAATAGATGGCAAAGAGTTAAACAGGGAACCTTTAAATCTGTAGATTGCGTAAAAGAATTATAGGAGTCATTGGGCAAAACTCTCAGGGAAAACAATTTTTATAGAACGTATTTCGTCAAGAAAAATTGTGAGAAGCAATATGTGGTATGAACAAGAGAACACCTTAAAAATATTGTACCAGCATCATTGACATCAAAAGTTTTCCTGAATGTGCTTTCAAAGATTCATTGAAAGTAAATGGAAAATGAGAGCTTTGTTTTTACTTTTTTGGTATTTTCTTAGGATGGTGGCTGGCATACTAGAAGTTCTTGATGGATGTTTCACTCTTTTGGGATCTTTAGAAGAAGGAAAATCTATGCCAAAGTCTACTGCAATTGAAGTAGCTACTACATTGCTTGCACTACCTACTCCAATCAATGTACAAGTTAATACAAAATGTCTATTGGCTTCACTGCATTCCTCTAGAGCTGCATATCACAACTATAAGGTAATTTACATAAGTTGAATACTATTTATTATGAAACTCATATTTGAATTTTCTGGGGAGGCAGATTAGGTAAATTACACAATTAGTATTTCTGCAACTATTGTCATATAATAGCACAGGTTGCAACTTTGACTAATAAATTCATGTGCTGATTGTCTCTGTCCCTCCCTCCCTCCACCCTCTCCCTCCCTCCACCCTCTCCC